TGCATCCATCACATTTATCCTAAAGGAACTGACTTAATACGACTATGTTAATTTGAGCGATTTTAATATATAAAATAATTGTATAGAGTAATTTTAAATAATCAATCCAACATTGAAACGTACACAATTGAAGTAAGACAATATGCTACTAATATAAATAGAGAATGCTTTTTAATACTTTTCAAAATAATTTCGAAAATCTAAAAGATATGAAGCCAGTCACACGTTTTGGAATGTCCTAGCAGAAACTAACTCACTAACAGATTCTTACACATATCGATAACTATGTTAACGAAAGACTCCGACTAAAGAATGACACGAGAATTACGAGAATTTTCCCCTAAAAATTTTATCGATATCGACGATGCCAATCTACTTCAAGTAACAATTTAATTTCTCAGATTAGATATTTCGATGTCGATCAGCCAACGGAGAGCAACGATGAAAGAGAAACTTTATTTCTATCGATATCGATATCGACACTGGGTAGTGTACGAACGGCTCCGATTGGTGGGACGTCACTTCTCTTAATCCTACCCGAATGGACTAACGCGAGTGTTTGCGTATCGATATCGATACGCGAACGCGCGCGCATTTCTATCGATATCGATAGCACGGGCGCGGGTAATGTCGCATAAGCGGGCGGGTAACGTCGATCGTGCGTAATTAAAAAAGAAGAATAAGCCGTTAAATTATCGACACGGCCGCCAATCGGTTAATGACGGTGGGCCGCAATCGCAAACGGCACGGAGTTAATCGAGCTGAAAATGGAATCGGGATTAGGCGGTGGTGGAGGCGTTTGAACCGGGCAATTCCTTCGCTGGATCGTGTGGTCGAATTTGAACTTTTTTTTATTTTTCTTATTTAAATAATTATTTGGCGTATGTAAATATTGTGAATTAGTTGTTGAATTATTTTATTTAATGTTTATTCAAATTCTTTTTATTTAATTTCTATAAAGAGGATTTAAAATCATATATTTTTATTCATCTTACATATACCTAACGTATTGTACGACTTGTAAAATTTATAACTAAGTCTGATTTTATGTAAAATGTAAAAAAAACTTTTTATCATATGTTGACAATCCCGCTAGCAATCACCGGTTGTCTTACTGGATATTAATTAAAGCCTTTGTATCGATTGACACACTCCATTATATTATATACTCCGTCATTAGTACCTAAGTTATCTGCGATGTTCTAAGTAACCCCTGCATTTCTGAATTACTCAAACATAAAAAATACATAGAGCAATTCGATCAGATCATCAGACGTGCAGTGGCTCTTGACTCCATCTCATTCGAAACTCTTGTATCCCTTAGATTTGTGTCCAGTATTATGTAGTCCATTTTGGTGGCTATAGATAATCAACCTTCCCAAGAAAAAAATTTTCAATAAGAAACTCATTTTTGATGGTCAATATTGGAACTCATGACGTACCAGTCACCTCGGAAGATTGATCTAAAGAGAAAAAACTATCTAACTCTGAATATATTCGTAATTTAATTGGAGACTAAAGTAAACAAAATGAAACAGTGAAACCGCTGGCGAAATTCTGCGAGTTCACCAGCTCTTCACGCGAGATTGGCTGAACAAATTCGAATGATATCTTGACCAACTTTAGCTTCTATCAAAATTAAATGGAAAATGTCTATACATATATTTAGATGACTCCGTGGCGCAGTTGCCAAGGCTTCGGCGTCGGGGGTCGTGGGTTTGATTCCCACACGGGACAACTATTTGTGTGACCCACAGATAGACAATCAATAGCATTGCCTTAGTTAGACGATGTCGCCTCTCAGATGTCTCTACTATACTACGAAGCTCAATGTTGGCGTCAAACGGTCATCTCCAGGGTTCGAATACGCTCCTAGACGCGGCTCGGATGTCGAACCCGAGCCGCCTCGCAATAAAAACGTACGCCGCTGCCGCGAGGCCAATTAGTCCACTTTAACAGTGGACAGGAACAATAACAATGCCTCGTGGGCTCACCGCTCGACCGCCACTTCAAATTAAACGATTAATTCCACAATGGGCGTAATTAAAAGCGCTCCTAAGGGTCGGTTCACACCGCGCCGTGTATACTTTGCAGGCCGCGGTCGGCTCAGTTGTAGGGCGTTTGTTTATCGCGTCCGGTGATGATATACGCCATATGATGGTTATGTCATCTTATGTAGACAAGCTCAGTAAAATTCTGTTCATTATTGGTTGACGAGCTACATTCACATGATAAGGCAGACAGGCATTTTTGTCCATTCGACAGAATATCCTTCCATCTTCGCTATCCAATCCAACTTCTTTGTATTATGTTGCAAGCACTTAGAAAGTACTACGTTTATAGTACCTACATAATGGACAGTCCTCGCTGAGGTCTGGGTGACGATATTCTTGTAATCTCTAGTCCATTACTGAATATAGGCCTCCACCACGTCCTAGACAGATTCTTACCACCCGCCTGCCTGAGGTTTACCCCGTTTGGGAACAACCCAGATCCGCCACAATTGTCTGTGGGGCACTCAAATCCAAATCGATATCACGCGCTATTCCAATGGATTAGAAATACAGGACGCCGTGTATACTCCGGCTGTGCATAGTACCTTGCGGTACCGACGTTGGTGGCTGCTGTCGCCAGTACAGTAAAGGCACAACATTCATCGATTATCGTTACGTGGGAAATGTACTCGAAAGCGATAAATTTAGCGAAGGCAACCCATGCAAGACTAGCTTCGATTAACCCTTGGTCTATGCGGTCTGTGAACGCGAACAGTCATTGTCGTTGACTAGCGCGATATGAAAGTGTTTGTGTGACCCACGGATTTTTGTTTGGGACCTGGGCGTTCATTCCCAAGGAGGGTCATAAACCCTAGGCAAAAGCACTCACATGATTAACATGTTGTGCCGACCCCGCCTAGGTGGGAAGGATGATTACTGAGCAGAAAGTTGAAGCAGCAATAGTTTCATTACAAATACGGGTTATCTGAGAGCACTAATGCTAACACGAAACTGGTCACACACGCCGGCAAATCCGCAACAGCTGGGAAACTATGAATCAGGCTTCCTCATTCGCCGGAGAAAACGCAAAAGTATTAAAAATTTTACACCGGTTTCCTTGAGCGTTCCGGACAAGCCAGCTTAATGTAATTGCATTAGCTCGTACTGTTCTTCTTTTTGACTCTTCATGGCGACGGCCAAGCTGATTTCAAAATGGATTGCAACGAAAATGATTTTCCCATCATTCATTTAACGCTGCTCCAAAGGGAGGACGAGTATCCTTATAGTTCCTTAAGTAGTCCCTTTGCGAATAGTTTACCGATATCGAGAACTGTATGAGTGCTCCCTCAACGCTGGCAGTGTCCGGGCGCTCGCTTTCAATTCATCATACTCGAGCAACCTGAGTTCAAATCCCGGTGCCAGCACGTGATCATGCAGTGGAGGTGAACACAGAAATATTTCGGAGATATATTAAATCGGCTAAACCACAGTGGGATCGCGTAGTGAATGCCCTAATATTTTCTGTACATAGGCCATTGCCTAGCAGTGCAACATGTTTAGGCTGATAGTAATCGTCGAGGTCTCCGTTAGGAACATGTACAGGCTGATACTTTACTAAGCATAGAGTCTCCGTTAGGCAGCATCTCTATCCAACATGTTATGACAGTGTTAAATTACGTTCGTCTTTGAGCGCGTTCTCGAGATCGTTATCCGTTAACGGGCGACAGACAAATGGCCCCCGAGAACAATCGTCAACGGTTAGGGAACAATGCGATTACTCGGCGGGCAATTACCGTAACCGATGGCGGGCGAGATTAGACGCACGGTTCGGCCGAACGCCGAACGCCGAAAGCCGAAGATTCGACGAAGTTATGCGTTTAGCCGAGATTTAGTTTCGTTGTCTGACTAGTATGAAAAATTATTTAAGAATAAAAGCCGATCAACATTTATCGGTGTTAATCCGGAAGATTCTTTTTTGTTATTATTTTTAAAATATGCAGATTTCTTCACGATGTTTTTCTTTCTATTTTAGTTTATTTGTAGGATGGAGAAATAACAAATAGTTATTTGCTTCTCTAGAAGAGATTCGTGTACTTAGTAGAGGGCGAGTGGACACAAGGGAATAGACCATACAGGCGCTATCATCTTGCGTCTCGCTCCCCACTATCACCGTCCCTCTCCAACGCTGGCGTATCTCCGCTTTGGATCGATGCCTAATTATACCCACATCACCGCGGGGACCCGTGGAAGGAGGCATTCCTTAATTAATTCAATACCGAGCTATTATAATGGGGCACCAATTCGTTATCAAATTTTCGACGCGGCGACGCCATCTTGAATGGCCTATTCGGATTTGACGGATAACGGCGTTATTAACGGTGATTAATGGATATTGGAACCGAAAAGATCAAGTATGATCATCACCCAATCGGAGTCATCCGTAGCTAATTGGCTTGATGTATTTACATTACTTTCAAGTCTCCGTGTACTTCTAATTTTGTTGTTGACGAGTCTCTCTACCCCGGTCTTATATGTTTCCCTGGTAACTGACACCGGAATAAACCTTTGTTGATGTCACGAAACGGCTACGATCGAACTAAGCGACGGCATACCACAAACAATGTGACAAGCTTCTAGCATTCACAGTGACCGAGATTCGAATCGACAGTTTAGATACATAAATAAGTTTAATTTACACGAGACGCGCCCACGTCTGATGGCGCATTAAATAAATTAGATGGGAACCGATCTTCTTATCTTAAAGCTTGGCGCGAAACTCGAATGCGACCGAATATGAGTCTACGCGAAAGCGAAACGCCGCCTGCAAGTGTGGAAGCGAGACGGAACGACTGCGGCGTAAAGATGCCAAACTTAAAACTACCCGCACCGCGAACTCGCACTGTGACGTCACAGAATGCATTCAAGTTTCGCGCGCTTTCAAACTACGATATATACAAGTTGAATAGAAAGTTCTGTGGCCGTTGGCGGCGTCCCTTTGCACTCTTACGTCTCGTTCTCACTCTCACTCAGATCGTCCATGTCGATCAGCTCTTCGTCCTCCTCGTAGGAGTTGTTGAACTGGCTCTCCTCCGGTTTGCTGGACGAGCTGGATTTGGTGCCGCTCTTCGCTTCCTCCTCCTGCTGCATCCGTTTGTGCTTCGTCCGCCTGTTCTGGAACCAGACCTTCACCTGGGGACAAGGTACACGATTGTGAGAACGATGGAAAACGCAGCGGTAGGGCCACGCAACAGTCTGCGCGAATGGGACCGTCCTGGCTAGTATCACAGAAGATCGGCGTGAGGTGGAAGTGTTACACTTCTGCGTTTCGTATGGTGCCTAAGCCGGTGCGCACTTTATTATAAGTTGGCAACGCATCAGCAATATCTGATGTATGGGCACCCCTCTTAAATATTTTTTTATTCAGTTTTTTTAATATTTTTTGTTATAGCGGCAACAGAAATACATCATCCGTGAAAATTTCAACTGTCTAACTACCAAGGTTCATGAGATACAGCCTGGTGATACACGGGCAGACAGAGAGACAGCGGAGTTCTGGTAATAGGGTCCCGTTTTACCTTTTGGGTACGGAACCCTAAAAACGCCGTGGCAAAATTTGCAAATAAAAAACTGCGGCAGCTATTGGGTTGGCTAATACCTGTTTCGAGCCTCTTACAAACCGGAACTTAAAGACACTAGTCCCGCTTTCTAGTCACCGGCGCGCTAACTAGGCTAGTATATCCAAATGTTTGGTTTTCCACAGGACAATTTAACTGTGGTAGGACCACGCAGCAGTCTGCTGTTGCAGGCCCGTCACTAGAAGTACCACGGTATAACAGAAGACTGGCGTGCAGTGGGAGTGTTACACTTTTAAGTTTCGTCTGGTGAGTGAGATAATCGGGGCCGAATTCTTCGGATGTTAGTAACGCATCTGCAAGGATGTCCATGGGCGGCGGTAATCACTTAACATCACCTGAACCGCTTACCAACTTCCCACATAGAAACGCGTTCGTTAGGAACGCATCAAAAGGCGAATTAACGATGTACGTGATTTGCAAGTATGGAACATAAAGCTGTATATACTCAACTACTATTAACTTAAAAAAAAAATAAACGGCGCATCATAAATCTATTTCCTATTGTAATATTTTTATTATAGCAACCCCGAAACGAATTGCCAATATCGTGTATCACCCCAATTGTTATGATTGCATAATACAAGTTATCTCGGCTGTTGAGATCGTGAAATATAAATTCAACGTAGGGTGTGTCGCCATACGTACAGCAATAAATTACGTTCGTTTGGTAAAGTGACATTTTTTTTTCTTGTGCATAAACCACGCTGCAATGGTCTCCGAGTCAATTGCGTATGTGACTACAGCCTATTAAAAAGTTATTTAATTTTTCGCGCCTCATTAGAAAATTCCTTTGCCCTTAACTGACAACTGCATCGATAGTGATTTCGCCTAAGCACCTAATTAAATGGAATCGTGTTGATTTGTGAAAACTAACTAGATCATTTAAGATCTCTAAAAAATTAAACTCATTAACTTACTTACGAAATTGTGTATTCATTTTTATGTAAAATTCGACTATTAATAAGAACGGGCAAACGTCTATTTGAATAAAGATATTTTTAAACTTTATTTTGAAAAAAACATAAGCATTAACTCGGTAGTAATAAGGAGACGTAATGCAGAGTTTTCCACACGCCTCCAGTCAATTCTTTCGTACATAAAAGCTATTGCAGTTAAAGCTCACTACGATATTATGTATCCATTTCATACAAAGCGACAAAAGAATTCACCCTTTGCGCAACAATACGAAAAATACCCCTTGCTTGTATATGTCTTTTGAAAGAATACCATACGGAATTTCTGCATCCGCGACAACAAAGCTTTTCCCGCTTGAAAAAAATTGCGTCCGCCATTTTGCGCGCCAATTTGTCACCGGTTTAATGGCGCGCGAAATCTGCCCCCGGCGAATTCGGTGTTGTCAGCTCGTGAAAAACTATTCTAATGCGGAATAAAGAAATGTATCTGCCAACGGAAATTGAAGTTGCATAATTTTTGCAACTAATTTAGGGCGAGTTAATGTTGTTTAAGTTTTAAATCGAACATATAGGTATAAATGTATTAGTGATGCGTGAGCCACTGATAAGAATTTAATCAATACACAGTGTCCCTCACGATGAGTGGCTTTACCGCATAGAAGCTTAAACATCTGTGAACGAAGATCGTAAATAGCACTCGTGCCTTGACACTCACGTTGCTCTCGGAACGGAAAACAGATTCCGACGAATTGTTTCTTTTGAGATACTAAGACCTTAGATTTTATTTAATCTACATTTTCAGGTTATACTTGCATGTAAATAATACTTTATCAAAAGAGAAATTCATCACATGCATTGCATGAAAGTTGTAAGATCAAGTCCTAATGCTTCGGGGTTGAGCTTCTATGTAAATAATGCCTTAACAAGAGAGAATCATGTATTAAATGTAAGCTGTAAGACCAAGTATAAAGTGGATAATTCAATATCAAGGTGTTTGTTTTCAAGCAGTCGGCGGAAAACATCTAAGCAATAATTTTTTTTATGTGAAAGTTGCCAAACGAGCAGACGGTTCACCTGATGTTAAGTGGCTACCTCACTCACCAGACGAAACGGGAAAGTATTATACTTCCACTTTACGCCGGTCTTCTGTGAGGTCGTGGTACTTTACCGGACGAGCCTGCCCATCTGTGCAACAGCCGAGGCTGCTACGTAGCCGTACTACCGTTAATATTAAAAACACAACGGATATGTTGTGCCGACACCACCTAGGTGCGATAGGCAGGAGAGAAAGATAAACTACATTAGACCTACTTACGTTTCCCTACGTGGCAAACAAACGCTCGTTTCGAAACTTATTACGAACAATTCATTGTGCTTGCGGACCTACGTTAAACGTATCAAACTTTAAACAGCAATACAAAATCGATTTCCTACAGCTGTTATCGTTGCGCGTAACATGATTTGTAACATGTTTATGGGCGCGTCAAATAAGTAAATCGAATGGCGCGTTGGAAATTCCCTCGAACCGATATGCCAGCAAAATGCTCCGATTATCGGTTTTATTGGAAAATTTATTGAATCGCTCAGTTATGGCGCAGTTGCTGTCATTGGCTTAGGCGCCGGAGGTCGTGGGTTCCACCACCAGACATGGTGTGAGACTAACGCCATGGTTTTCAAATTTCATTTTAGTTGCCAAAAGGATGGTTAAACTCTTTGGATTGATCGTTCTGATCATAAGAAGATCATTCTGGTCAATTCAGAGAGTTTAACCGTCCTTTTGGCAACTAAAATGAAATTTGAAAAGCCATTTGACGGCTGATTAGTTGACATCTACGATGATCAGTGTTTCAGAAACCGGCCGTAAGTCTCAAAAGTCTAGCATAGCATTTGATATCTCTGTCCAACTGCATATCTCGAATTACTTTAACTGAGTCGAGAATCATGCATTCATTTCTTCACTGGATATAGTGTTTTGTGGAGACGAAAACGCACACGGAAATAACACGTATGAAAAATCGCCAGTGGATCCTAAAAAGAACTAACCATAAATTCCTTTTACGCGTATACAACCAAAAATTTTAAAGCTAGCTACACAGACAGAGCCTATATACAGAGTGGGACGGAAGATATCTCGTCGCCGACTCGGAAATGAATTGTAAACAAAATAAGCCCTCCAGCTCGAGGGTTTCCCCGCCCCCCGAAATTAGATTAGTTCCACTACATTAGCAGTTCGCGTATCGACATCGAATATCAATCTGGTACGTTTTCCGTCACCCTTTACTATATGGGCAATGGCCCGTGGCGGAGAGGGACAGAAGGTTCACGGATGATTTCTGATGAAAAGGGCGAACTACGTGCGTCGATAGATTTAGTTACATAACCCTTGACGATTTGTTAGAGCCAAATGCGTTTAGGAAGTGAAGAAATTCGACTTTATTCACACACAACGCAGTTCTTATATAATAAAGCAGAAAAATGCTTTTATCTGCTAAAGTATTTAGTGTGTATGGAATAATCATGCCTACTTGGTATACGTACGCACCGACGTTGTGTTATGTAGGTGTTTAAAAATCGCAAGGCTCTAAGGCAGTACTTTTATGTACGTTGATAGTGTTATAAATAAGTTTAGTAACAAATATTTCCATAATAAAATGCGAATTTTTTATTCAAATTAGAAATGTGTATGTCGATAAATTTTCGGTGCTGATGGGTTTTTTATTGAAGAGACTAGCACTAAAAATTACAATTAAAAATACATTTGTAGCCGTAAACAGCCGTGATAGCTCAGTGTCCGGGCGCTCGCCTTTAATTCAATATACTCGAGCAACCTGAGTTCGATCCCCGGTGCCGGCACCAATGAAGTTGGTTATATTTTCGAAATAATAACAAAAAAAATATATTTCGAAAATATGTGAAGTCCGCCAATCCGCAGTGGGGCCGCGTGGTGGACTATGCCCTGATACCCTCTGTATAGAGGAGGCCTTTGCCCAGCAGTGGGACATGTATAGGCTGTTACTTTATACATTTGTAGGTACAATTATTTAAATTGTAATCAATTATAAATGTACAAAGGCCAATGTTTTCTTCGTATTGGTGTCATTTAGATAAACTCGCGAGAGCGTTAGGTCTGGCTTGCGAAAAATTTGTCACCTGTCGCGTTAAACCTGAATGTTTGGACGGAATCCCTTCGAGCGCATCAACTTTATTATGATACATTACAGCGGACGAGTTATGTTGGCAACTTATTAGCATACTCCTATTAACATTAGCTACTATATATTCGAACTTGTAACACGTAGTTTAACACATCGCAATGATTTATTTAATTCGACGTCCGCCGTGACATTTGTTGTTATTTATTGCAGTTAAAATGGTGTTACGTAAATTGGCGGAACAATGGAAATTAGACTCAGTGGACTTGATAATAGGAGGCGTTTTCTATGCAGATAGGAGCCGACATCTGCTTTTGCACCTGCAACTTGCTCGCGTTGAATGTCGTAAGCATGTAAAGGTGCTGGAACACTATAGCGTATGCTTAAATAGATATACTTAAATCGCCACGCCTTCAACTATAGATATAGATACGGATTACAGGAACAATTTCCTTGACTCATTCGTCTCTTCCTACCTTCTAAATATT